GAGGCGGGGGGCTCTGACTCCTGCATTGAGTGCCTCGCTGTGCTGTGCATGCGTTCAGGGTCTGGGGTGCGGGGGGTGGGGGGGGGCTTGCTGAGGAGTCTGCCTCCTGCTGACCTTCCTGTGGAGTTTCCATCAGCACTACGCCTGCTCGGGAATGGCTCCTCTTTGGAAAGTTTCGTGACTGATCCGCCTTCCACAAACCCTCCTTCTAACCGAGCTCCTGAAAAGACTCGCCGGTCCCTCCGCAGCCCCTCTGCCTGGCTTAGGTCCCCCCCACTTCCCCAAAGTGGCCAAGGTTCCACGTTGCCCAATCCCATTTAGACAAATGTTAGGAAACTCTGCTCTCTGTAGTATTTTATTAACCTCTTTGGCCTCTCGCCCTGTGAACATCGCTAGTGCTCCATCCCCAAAGGACGGAGGCCACCTCCCGCTGGAACAGAGCTGCTAAGGCAGGTCAGGCGGGAGCAGGGACCCTCTGCAGCCGGGCTCAGGCACCCCCGGCCGCAGTCACAAAGGGCAGAGCGACCTCCAGACAGCTTCTTCGCCTTAGATTTCATCTCACGGAAAATTCAAGACCAGTATTTGTCTGCTTTTTTACAATTCCCTCCAGAAGGCCAGGTACCTGTCGTCATCATGGAAGAACTTATTTCTCTTTCATTGAAAGTGGGTGTCCCTGGACCGAGCCCAGTGTGAAAATGACCTCGATTGCAGGGCAGGTCCTATTCCTGCTCAACATCAGCAAGTCACCAGGAATGCACCTCGAGGCGGAGCCACTCAGGGAGCGCCTGCCACGTCCGTGTAAGGGACGGCGTGGCCACCAGGGTTCAGTCGGTCGGAGACCCAGTCACCGCTCCGCGCTCTTCCCGGACCCGGGGTGAACGGGCCACCGGTGTTGGTCACCCACTTGCCACCGGTGGTCCCTAGTGTTCTGTCGCGTCACGGCCATCCACAGCAAGCAGACCAAGTTCATTCCTATTTCAGGCTTCACACCCACTAACGTAGCAACTCAGGAGTTGTTAACTAGTTCTAATATATGAACCTACCCATCCAACCGATCTCTGAACAGAGTGCGGTCTGTGAATGGAACTGTTTTCCTGACTAAACATTGTTATTCGTGGCCATCTGTTCTGCTTTGGATAAAACAGCACGTTTTATTTGGTGGAGGCAGAGCAGATAGATTACAAAGTCACCATAATCAAACAGTGGTGTCGATTCATTTTTGTTGTTGTTAATCCTCCCCCAAGGATTTTTTTTTTTGATTAATAGAGAGAGTGGAAGGGAGGGGGAGAGACAGGGAGAGAAACATCGCTGTGAGCGAGACATATTGATTGGTTGCCTCCCGCATGAGCCCTGACCGGGGCTGGGGATCGAGCCTGCAATGGAGGTACGTGCCCTTGACCAGAATCAAACCCGTGACCCTTCAGTCCAAGGGCCGATGCTCTAACCACTGAGCGACTGGCCAGGCTGGTGTTGATTAATTGGATCCTGCTTTTCCCTTCCACGTGTAGGTCACGGAGACCCCCTGGACAGCTACGTAAACACGCAGGGGGCCTCGCTGATTACTCTCACCAGGAAGGAGCTGCCCGCAGGAAGCATCGCCGAATGTGCCGCGAAATGCGAGGAAGAAACCACATTCACTTGCAGGTATTTTTGGTGTCATGGCACCTGGGCAGACATCTTGCTGTTTGGGAGACTCTTATTTTGACATCAGGAACTTTGCTCCTGGCCGTGACAAGGACAGGATTTAAGAGGGATTTCATGGGATCGGAGTTTGGAATCTGTATTTGCTCCCTGTACCGGAATCCACACAATAGTTTCTTGATATACTTATTAGTGTCCCTTATAGAAAAATGTCCCCAGAGGACCTTATTTATTTGTACATGTGACGCGAGCAGGTACTATTAAAGCTCTCGTGTTTAACACCGTTATCACTAAGTATTTACTGAGGATCACATGTGTGGAGGTGTTCGGGACCCCAAGGAGCAAAGAAGCATTGAGGGCGTGACCAGCGTCTGAGCGATACAGCACCGTGTGTGCTAGGTCTTTGTGTGGGTACACGCTCCAGCCCTGCCTTTTGTGGCTATGGTGTGGTGTCGTCACAGAAACTGGATATAATGCAAATTTAAATTTAAAAAAATACAGCCTAGGTGAGGTATCGGTAAGTGACGTAATCAATATGTGCTCTATATTCAGAGGAGAGATCAATTCCTCAGGGTTGATCAGCTGGGCAGGCCTCAGGGAGGAGGTGTGAGCTGAGCTGGGCTTTGAAGGGTAAGTGGGAGCTGGGTAAATACTGATGAGGCCTGAGGCCTTCTAGGCAGAGGGCGTGGCCTGGCCTGGCCCCTGGGAGAGGGACCAAGCAGGGACCAAGGGCTCGTGCTGGAGATGGGGCTGGACAGGTAGCTGCGGAGGCTTTGAACGCCAGGTCAAGGGGGGAGAGAATGCAGAGGTGTAGGTCAAGGGGAATCACAGGAGTCATGTAGACCATTTTGGAAATAAATTCAAGGCCACCAGAATCGCTTCTTTCCAACACAAAAGCAAATATTCTGGGACTACATTAAGAACACGAGTGAGGAAAAGTAGAGCAGTCACCACAGAAAGAGACCATGTGGAGGAGCAGGAGGAAGAAAGGAGGGAGAGACCATGTGGAGGGCCAGGAGGGAGACGGGAAGGGAGAAGGATGCGATCACCATGGCAGCATCTCATGGACACTGGGCCACACGGAATTGAAAAGAACAGCTCAGAGCTCCTGGAGCCACCAAGGGACACACTTCCCTTTAGAGTCTCCTACTTCCCAGTAAAAGACGGCTCTCCTCCACTGACGCCGCCCTTCCGCTGTGTCCGATTCTCTCCCGCAGGTCCTTCCAGTACCACAGCAAAGAGCAGCACTGCGTGGTCATGGGGGACAACAGCAAGTCCGCCCCGGTCCTTCGGATGAGAGACGTGGTTTTATATGAAAAGAGAAGTGCGCACCATGCTTTCTTTTCCTCCTTCTCCTGCTCATCTACTTCTTCCCCTCCCCCTCCTGCCCCTCCCCCTCCTTCCTGCCCCTCCCCCTCCTCAGGGCTGTAGTTTATGGGACCACAGAGTGGAGGCACCATGGGGCAGGGAAAGTGAATTAGGAGTCACTACATCAGCTTGAGTAGATTATCTTACTTTACCTTTTATGTGTCATTGTTCTTATTTTATTCATTGTTTTGTTAATCCTCACCTGAGGACATTTTTCCATTGCATTTTAGGAAGAGTAGAAGGGAGGAATGAGGCCAGGGAGAGAGAGAGAGAGAGAGAGAGAGAGAGAGAGACATCAATTGGTTGCCTTCCATATGCGCCCCAACTGGGGATTGAACTCACAACCTAGGCATGTGCCCTGACCAGGAATCAAACCTGCAACCTTCCTGGTGTCCAGGATGATGCTCCAACCACTGAGCCACCTGGCCGCGGCAGTTTCTCTTTAATTCTTGAGATTCAAGTGCAGATGAGATCTACAATTTACCTGGTGAAGTTACTAGTTTTTACAAATAGTGAGTCAAGGATGAGATACACAGCATTCCCTACTATCCACCAGATTAAAGAAAAGGGGGCCTGGTGGGATGCCCCCTGCAAAACGCTGCCGTGTACACGTCCCTGTAAATGGTTAACCAGAGGGGATCTGGGGTGACCGCCGGCCTGAGTGCGCATCCCTGTGGTTGCCTGTTTTCCAGGCGATGGCAGGAGCCAAAGGTTAGACAAACGCTGGCAGGTACAGACAAACAAGGAGAGGTGAAAGGTCAAAAGTCAGTCCTTCCCGGTGCTTGTCTCTTTACTGTGCAATATCGACCTGGGCTGACTCACCCCCCGGTGCGTTTCTGGGAAGAGCTGCTGTCATATTTCCATCTGCCGCTTGCCGCCATGGCCGCTGCCACCACTTGGGTCTAAGCCGCCGTCATCACTGGTGGGCCACTGGACGGGCTGGGCGGTGACATCCCTGCTTCAAGGCCTTCGTGCCCTGAGAACAACATCCAAATGCCCTGAGGGCTCCAGGGCCCCGCATCATTGAAGCCCACCCTGCTTGCCGGGCTCAAACGCTTGTCCCTGAGCCTGCACCATGCGGGGCACACCCTGCCGCCCACCCTCTCCGTCCCTCCCTGGCCAGTCCCTTCTCATCTCCCAGGTCTCAGCTCAAGCCCCACCTCCTTTCAAAGCCTCCCCTTGACCTCAGGGCCTCCGAAGGGCCTTGTGTTTACATTTAAAAAGATATTTTTTTTTATTGATTTCAGAGAGGAAGGGAGAGGGAGAAAGAGAATAGAAACATCAGTGATGAGAGAGAATCATGGATCAGGTGCCTCCTGCACGCCCCGCATTGGGGCTTGAGCCCGCAGCCAAAGGATGTGCCCTGACCGGGAATCAAACAGTGACCTCCTGGTTCATAGGTTGACACTCAACCACTGAGCCACGCTGGCCAGGCACACTTACACTTTAAAATATATATATATATATTGCTGCCTCCTACACGCCCCACAATGGGGATTGAGCCCGCAACCTGGGCATGTGCCCTGACTAGGAATCAAACCTTGACCTCCTGGTTCATAGGTCAACGCTCAACCACTGAGCCACGCCGGCTGGGCGCATGTACACTTTTGATAAGTGTCCTACGTCTACTGTAGGTAGATGTCTCCGTGAAGACCTACTTGCAATCCGTCTACAGACCGTTGGGTTAAATGCACTCGTCTGCGATAGGTGTGTGAGAAATACTTTCCACAGACAACCAGTCAATTAGCTTTAAAGCTGGTTTACAAGGGGGAATCATGAGAGATGACACAAAGGGATTGAAGACACACGATTCCACGGGCACGTTTTGGGTGGAGGCTCTTTGTCCTGGAACATGGGCCAGCGATAGGGGTGACCTGGCGTGTTTCTGGCATAAATGACTCTCTAAGGCAGCGGTTCTCAACCTGTGGGTCGCGACCCCTTTGGGGGTCGAACGACCCTTTCACAGGGGTCGCCTAAGACCATCGGAAAACACATGTATAATTACATATTGTTTTTGTGATTAATCACTATGCTTTAATTATGTTCAATTTGTAACAATGAAATTGGGGGTCACCACAACATGAGGAACTGTATTAAAGGGTCGCGGCGTTAGGAAGGTTGAGGACCACTGCTCTAAGGGCCTTGTCTACCATAACCAGCTTCCTTCTCTTTGAAGCAGAGCCGGGCCCGGAGCATACACTCGTCAGTCTGACTGTCGAACACCTCTGTGTAGTTATGATCTCCCCCCCACACATATAGTCACCGTATGCGTGGGTTGCACTCAGTGGATTTGATAGCAATTTTGAAAACGATTCAACTCTCTCAAGTCCTTACAAGCATTCAGCTTTGTTAAAGAGAAGCCTTTTTTTTCTCATTCATTTCTCAGTTTAGAAGATTGTAATGACTATGTATGGTGCCAGGCCAGTTTAGATAACCTTTGATCAAATACAGCTGCATTAAAAGTTTTGACAATAAAGACATTGGACTCTTGGTAAGCATATAACCCAACTGGTGGGACCAGAAGTGGGCAGACACACTGGAAAGTGGCCTGCCAGCCACGGGTGCCCACCCTGAGCCACGAGGGACACGGGTGGGCACCTGGCAGTGTGCTTAACAACAGGATGGAGCCCTGCCCTGTGAGTCGGGGAGGTGGTGGCCGGTGGTAACCCTTTAAAGTAGACCCCACTTTCTAACCCTGTTGGACACTTTTCATATTTAAACTACCGGAGCCTCAGAAAAGTCAGGGCGCATGGATCTCTCCTGGCCCCTGAAAAGTGCACTGCCCACCTGCCTGGAAGCCCTCTTCCCATCCCCTTCACGCGCTCACACGCTGTTTATTGTCTGTCACACCTGTCACCAAGGGCTGCGTCCTTGATCGCTTTCTGTTGCGGCACCCTGACTCCACTGTTCCCCACTCCGTGTGCCCCCAGCACCCAGCATGGCGCCTGGCACACAGAGGGGCTGTCGCTTTGAATAAACCTATGGAAGCGCCAAACAGCTTTGCTAGCTGCACCTCTCCCAGAGCCATGAAAGGTGACCTTGGGTGGCAGGACCACCGTGTCCTTTCGCTGCACGAGACGCAGGGCTCGGCGTGACCTCCCTTGCGAAGGGACTGACCGCTGTGTGGTCTTCTCAGTCTATCTTTCAGAGTGCAAGACCGGGAACGGAAGGCGCTACCGGGGGACGGTGTCCAAGACGAAAAACGGGGTTGCCTGTCAGAAGTGGAGTGACCACTCTCCACACATCCCCAGGTAAGGCTGTCTCTCTCCGCTGTGCTCACCTGCTGCACTTAGAATGACCGCATTCCCTCCAAGCCCCCAGGATAGGTGCCCGCACAGGCACAGAGGACCTCGCTGATGCTGAGGCAGATGGTTCCATTAGTTATAGCCTCCCGCAGGGCATGCTTGTGCCCCATCCGCTCCGCACACATGCTTTTCTGGAAGCCCTAGCTCACAGGAGGATGCCTGGTAAGAACAGAACCACCAAACCACGGGTTCTAGGCTGAGTCTGAGAGACCAGAGATGGCCACCTTTAGGATGCAATTAGCTGAAAGCTAACGTATCAAATTAGAACTCTCACCTCAACATTGTGGAGTGAAAGAGGAAATGAAATATAAGCGAGCAATGGATTCTCCTGCAAGTCGCCTATTTCTTTTAGTGTCATTCTCACTGTATGTTTCCCAGGGAACATCAGGCTGCACTAAGTTCTTGGTGACAAAGCTCATCCAGCCGGAGCTGGTGTCTATGGCCCCACCCACTTCCCAACAAATTGCCTTGACTGCCTCCCGTGAGATGGGCAGACCTCATATTCCTGGGACATGAAGGCTTATAGGGGTAAAGCAATGAAACCAAATGGCAGGCTGTCAGGGGCCTTGGAGATAGTCTAGGCCAAGCATGTCAAACTCAAAGGCTAACACGGGCCAAATAAACGAGGTTTAAGTTTATGTGGGCCGCAAAAAACACAAGCTTCAATTTTCATAGAAATGTAGGTTTCTTTCAAAAAGTATAGTATACAATAGAACAAGAGCAATGATAAAATTAATGTTTTCTTACATACCGTTATATTGGCTGGGCTGCAAAAATATTTGTTGTGGGCCACATGCGGCCCGCGGGCCACATGCCTCGTTTATTGGGCCCATGTTCGCCTTTGTGTTTGACATGCTTGGTCTAGGCCAGTGGTCGGCAAACTGCAGCTCACGAGTCACATGCGGCTCTTTGACCCCTTGAGTCTGGCTCTTCCACAAAATACCAACTTCTGTGCATAGGCCACGAAGTTTCAACCGCACTGTACATGCATGCCCGCAGGTGGTATTTTGTGGAAGAGCCACACTCAAGGGGCCAAAGAGCCGCATGTGGCTCGCGAGCCGCAGTTTGCCGACCACGGGTCTAGGCCATCTCTCCTCTGGTAGATGAGGAAACTGAGGCTCGGTCTACCAAAAGCAGGCACGTAGGAGAGTCCAAAACAAAGCCTGACTTTTAGACCCCAAGTCTTGGGCTTTTGATCTAACTTGTTATCTCCACACGGCAACTCATCTCGAGTTGAAAGTTAGCTCGATTCCCCGACCCCACACTCCCCCTAAATCTGGCTGCATTTCAGAGAGAACACGGCCTGGGGGATCTGACTTAACTCTCGAGATGCTACTTATTAACCGTTCCAACTAAGGCACGATCTGTTTGGTTTCCACGCTGCGTCTCAGTCGTCTCATCTGTCAATAGGGCTAACATCACCGTCCTGGTGGGGTTTTCATTAAGGCTCCACGAGAGGACGTAGACAAAGAGCGTAGTGTCACCTGGAGCATGGCGTTCACTCCCATCGTTTTCACAGAGAGAGGCCGGGACAGAAGCAGGCATTTGGGATGCACGAGAACCTGGCAGGCTTGAGGCCTTGCTCCCGCCACCTATGCATAGAAACAGCGTGGTCCCCCTTCTGAGACGTGACTGTGCAAGTAGGAATAACGGGAATGTTAGCGCCTGGGCGGAAATAGCCCAGCAACAGAGACGGTGGCAATCGGACACCACAAACCCTTGGGCTCCGGGGTGGCAGGACCTTGACCTCCGGATGGGAACCGGAGGCTCCTCGGTCTGCGTGGCTGGTCGCGTGCTGACGTATAGGACACAATCAGAGTGTTTCCTTCCCGCCCTGCCCAGGTTCTCACCCACGAGCCACCCGTTGGAGGGGCTGGAGGAAAACTACTGCCGGAACCCCGACAACGACGAGAAGGGGCCCTGGTGTTATACCACCGACCCGGCCACCAGATTCGACTACTGCACCATCCCTGAATGTGAAGGTCAGGAGCTGCCGTAGACACCCTCCCGTTTGCCTTCCCCGCACGCAATTGCTGTAAAGCGATTTCCCACGGGGAGAGTGTGACCCATCACTTAGCGCCGTGTTTGACACCATCGAGTCATGCACGAACCTCATGGAAAGGGTCAACATTTGCTCAGACCCCCTAGTATTGACCTGAATTATTTTTATTAAAATGTTCCTTCAATGTGTACAAATATTTAAAAAAACAAAACTAGATGTAAACTCTAGACACAAACTTCCTATGCTTAAAGCTCAGCAGACAGTAGAAAGACAAAAACCGATTTGGGGGAATATAGTTGGCATAAACCCGCAAAATCAATACAATTCAAAGGAACAATAGTAACGTGGAGACTTTGTTGTTGCACTGAAGCTAAGCCAAGAACCAGTTTTTAAACCAGCGAATCGTTATTTTAATGAACCAACCAGTTGGATAGCACATCCCAGCAGTCAATGCTAAAAATTACAAACGTCCTACTGAAAAAAACGTTCTTCATTTCACATTTCCTGCTCCACTGAGTGGGGCGAGGGGGGTAGGGGATTTTTGTAGGGGGGGGGGGATTTGTGCAGCCACCTGGTGTGTTCCCACCTGTGACGGCTCAGGTCCCCATCATTTTATCCACCTCCACTCTGGGGACTCTTTATTTGTACACGGTGTTATGAGGTCATTTGTCCCTTAGTTGACATGAACACATCATTTTTGTATCAAGTCTGACTCTTTTTTTCCTTATTACTCCATAAAACTTAAAGTCACATTGACCCTGCTGGGCCATGTCATTTCAAGAATTCTAAATCAAAGCTCCTGTTTTTAAATAATGTGAGAAAGCGGAGAACAGCCAGGCGTGCTTCTCACTCATACAGAAAGAGAGCTGCTGTGGCTGGAGGGGAGCACTGCCCCCAGCAAGTCAGGAGCACCACAGACCCCAGCGCTCGGATCCTGGGAGGATGCCGTCACCCAGCGATCGGATAATGACACAGACGCGTTTAAAGATCCTCCTGGAAACGGAGACTCCACTTTTTAAAGTCCCAGCAGAGAACTGACAGGCTCCGAGAATCTGTGTCCCCTCCCCACCCAAGGGCCACTGCATCCCAGCTCGAGGACATGCCTTCATGGAATTTCTGAAATTGGTCGTGACTATAATAGTCGAGGGGGTCTTGACCAAAATATGCTCATTTTACCATTTGAAAGAAAGAGTGGCATTTTAGGTTGTATTAGAAAATTGAGTCTTTGGTGCCGATTTTATTACCAAGTGACTATCGGATAACACATAGGAACAAGGGGCTAGTGACCGTGGGACAGCACGTATGAGCAGGGGCTAGTGACCGTGGGACAGCACGTATGAACAGGGGCTAGTGACCATTGGACAGCACGTATGAGCAGGGGCTAGTGACCATTGGACAGCACGTATGAGCAGGGGCGAGCGGTGTTCAAGGCGTTCCTGGTGGGGCTCTGGTTCTCACTTCTCCTTCCTCCTTGCCGCCGCCCAGAGGAGTGCATGCACTGCAGTGGGGAAAACTACGAGGGCACGATCTCCAGGACCAAGTCAGGACTCGAGTGCCAGGCCTGGGACTCGCAGACGCCGCACGCGCACGGCTACATCCCCGCCAAGTAAGTCCCCGAGACAAACTCGGTGCTCCCGGCTCCGCAGCTCCAGAGTGCTTACTGCTGCTGAGGTGTTTTCATGTCCCTCGAGCAGCGAACGAACCTGATGTTTCCGCGTCTCCCTTTGCCTCTTCCCACGCGCCTGCCAGAGCGGCTCCCGCTCCCGCTCTGCGGTGGGTGCAGGGAGCAGAGGCCCACGACTGTCAGACGTGCAGGGTCTCAGACCCTCGGCCGAGTCTCTGCCGGAATTGGTCCTGGCCGATGCGTGAGCGCACGGAGAGCTGAGAAGCCCAGATCCGCTGGCTGGGGTGTCCCCAGCTCTCCCCTCTCCTCCCCACGCCCCCCCTCTCCTTCACTCCAGTGAAACTCCAGGCTCCCTGACCCACGACCCGAGGATGGGGGTGATGAGCCCTCAGTGTGTTCCTCTCAGTGCACTGTTTCCGGGGCAAGGACCCTAACTTTCACTAGACTCCCCAAGGGGCCAGGGATGTGCAACAGGGAGGGAGTCCCTGGCCTAGCAATCCTCCCCCACTTCCCACGGATTGTTCCGGAAACACCCCCTTCCGTAGCTGCTTCTGATCTTTCTCTTCATTCCATGATGATGGTGGGACCTACCGCGACTTAAGAAAACTTAGAAAAAATGAGACTGAGCCCCCTCGTTCCCTGTGGGCAACAGCTCCAGGGAACCGTTGTGCCTCCCATTCCAAACGGTTCGCGTCCAGGAAATAGCAGAAGATTCCCGAAGCCACTGCTGTTGGCTCAGTCGACCCTGACCTAGCACTGGGAGCCCCAGACAGGGACGTGAGCCAAGCCAGAGGGCCCAGGCACGGCTCGCCTCGGGGTCTCAGCCCAGGGCCCACTGAGGACTCCCTGCCTGCACCTGGGCCAGGTGCTCACGGGAACACAACGCGCCCCCTTCCGCTGCTGTAAGCTCAAAGGCTAGCGGGACCCCAGCCTGGCAGACCAGCGGGTCGGCTCTTCAAGCTCTGAAGGTGGCAACTAGGAAGTTCCTTGTGTTTTAAAAATTGCTCTTATTTGCAACTGCATAACTGGAGTTTGCTGACATCAGCTTTCCAGGCGACCCACATGCTAACGTCACTAATCCTGTCCTGTGGCTTACACACTGTAAACCGCCGGGAAAGTAGTCCTCCGACCCCCGAGCGCATCTTCCTCATGAGACCGCCATCTCTTCGAGGTCGGCCTTCTCCCTGTCGCCTCCCAGGGTGCTTGGCTGTGCCTGCAGGTGCTCCCTACCTGCTCATTTAAAGTGATTCTTAGCTGGACATGTTCCATGCTATTTTTTATTTTATTTTTAAAAACAAGGAACGCTCCACGAATTTGCGTGTCATCCCTGCGCAGGGCCCAGGCTGATCTCTGGATCGCTCCGGTTTTAGTGTGTGCTGCCGGAGCGAGCGCTGTTCCGTGCCATTAAATTCCTCCTCGCCCATTCAGATTCCCAAGCAAGAACCTGAAGATGAATTACTGCCGTAACCCTGATGGGGAGCCCAGCCCCTGGTGTTTCACCACGAACCCCAACAAACGCTGGGAACTCTGTGACATCCCGCGCTGCAGTGAGTATGGCCCCACCCCGTCCGCGGACCCTCAGCTGTTCTGCCCTGGGAACCAAGAAAAAAGCAGGGCCCCATGATCCTGTGGGGTTTGACTGCCCTTGTCAAACGGTCTCCTGGCTCCTCCAGGGACCTGTCTGAGCATCCATTGCTCATGGGTTCTGTGGGTTTTTCCTGTCAAAGACAGGCATGTGGGCTCCGGAAGGCAGCTCTGTGGCCTTCGAGGGGACATCAGACCCTGCGTCCTGTCCACGCGTCTCATTCGCACCCAGAGTTCTCTCTGGCTGCTGCTCTGTAACAAGCGTTGCCCCTGAGGTCTGTCTCAGAAGGGCCACCTGGGAGTGGGCAGTGGGAGAGGGGAGCCCAGGGCGGAGGGTGAACCGGCTCGCTTAGCAGGAAAGACCCGGAAGAAACACTTTTGTGAGCCTTTCCCTCGATGAGAATGGGAAGAAGGGACTGGAGGTTCAGACAAGGGCGGCCATCAGGAGTTAGGAGGGCTCGCAGCCCGGGGGGCTTCCGCCCTTGGGCCTGGCAGCCTTCCGTCCGGCGGGCACGGAGTCCCCTGGGCACTCCCCTTCTTCCTCACGTCGCTCTCTCTTTTTGTCATCTTTTTTCTTCTTCTTCTCTCAAGAATTTTGTGATTCTGGAAGCCCATACTCTTCCTTGGAGACACATTTTGGCTTCTTTCCACGGCCTCTCTGTCGGCTTCATGGGATGTTGGGCGGCATCTAGCTGTGTTCACTCGGGGAATCATTTATTCTTCGCAAAGGAGGTTGGGTCGCTGGTGTCTGTGGAGATCTGGGGTGAGGGTGGCATGTCGATCCCTACATGTGACAAACTGAGAAAGAAAACAGAAAGCAGCACGCACTCCGAGGGCCTTGTTCCTGGAGGCGTCCCTCGTGAGGTGGTCTCGTAGGCATGACTCTACCAAGTCAACTTCTTCTAAAAACGATAAACCACTTTCCAGTTCCAAAGAGGGGGAGCAGCCAGCAGCCAGACTGACGCTCCCAGATCCAACCCCGACCCCAGCCCTGCCGCCTGTGCCTTCCCCATTTCAGAACCACTCACGGCCATTTACTGTCCCTATTCAAGCAACCCCCCCGCCGTCCTCCGGCCCCACACACCAGTGTCTGAAGGGCAGAGGGGAAAGCTACGTCGGGAAGGTGGCCGTCACTCTCTCCGGGCACACGTGTCAGCGCTGGAGCGAGCAGACCCCTCACAAGCACAACAGGACCCCGGAAAACTTCCCCTGCAAGTAAGTCTGCCCCGGCTCCGTCCCCGCAGCCGAGCCAGGCGTGAAAGCCCACTGACCTGGCTCGAGCTTGAGCCACTACAGGTGAAGTCCCTGCACTGACCACGGGCCAGTGCTGTGCACGGGGATGGTGAGTCAGCCCTGTCTCCTGTGACGCTGGTTCTCCGCTCCAGCAGCGGGTGCTGTTAGAAATGCCAGATCCTGGGCCCTCCCCCAGGTCCGCTCAGTCAGATCGCAGAGCAGCGGGTGTGGAGAACACGGAAATCCCAGGGCTACGCTGGAGAGACTCGTTGTTGTTGCTAATCCGCACCCGAGGGTATTCTTCCCATTGATTTAAGAGAGAGTAAAAGGGAGGGGGGAGGAAGAGAGAGAGAGCGAGAGAGAGATCAATGTGAGAGAGACACATCGATTGGTTGCCTCCCACACACACCCAGACCGAGGCCAGGGATTGAACCTGAAACCCATGTACATGACCTTGACCAGGAATTGAACCTGCGACCCTATGGTCCAGGGGCCAATGGTCTAACCTCTGAGCCACACCAGCCAGGGCTGGATATACTGTTTGAGGCAGGAACACTGTGGGAAATCCCCATGTGCTTTAGCATCCAGCACCATGCCCAACACACAGCAGAGCTATTTTGCTTGGTGATCCCCAGTCGAGGAATACGTTTTAACCATTGACCCCAGAGAAGCGACGGCACCGTAATTCTCTGGGCTCCTAAAGAGCCCCACCTCCGCTCACGTGCCCACCTACCCTTCAGGAGGATTAGCTGGCCAGGCGTCCAATATCCCTATTAACCAGCCTGCGAAACTCCTTGTCATGTCATGGAGCCCGTGTGGAGGGCGGAACTCACACCGCGTCTTTTCCAGAAACCTGGAGGAAAACTACTGCCGTAACCCTGATGGAGAGTCGGCTCCGTGGTGTTTTACGACCAACAGCAAAGTGCGGTGGGAGCACTGCAAGATCCCGTCCTGCGAGTCCTCCCAGCTGTCCCCGGAGCAGGCGGAGGCCACAGGTAGCGGAGGGGCTGAGTTCGGAGGCCGGCCTGTGGGTCCCCACTCCCGCGCTTTGTCTAGGGTTGCGTTCTGCTCTGCTCAGAGAACGTGCTCCGGGGTGTCGCTTACGTTAAACCTGTGGAAGGAGGGCCTTCTTGGTGAACGTGTCCTGTGCTCTTAAGAAGGAGGAGGCTTCCGCTGTTGGCGGAGAGGGTTCCATAAAGACAGCAGGTCAAGTTGATTAGCACTGCTTTGCACTTCTCATTCCTCACTGATCTTCTTCTTTAAAAAAAAATATCTACACTAATAAAAGAGAAACATGGTAATTGGCGTACGACCGCTACCCTTCCCATTGGCTAATCAGCGTATCCTTATGCAAATTAACTGTCAGCCAAGATGGCGGCCGGCAGCCA